TGTATGTGTGAATATTTTAGAACCAGCAAATCTGGAGAAGTGATTAGTTCTGATGGGAGTGAAGGTGATGTTGTCGCGCAAAGTTTTGATTTGGAGATTCATAAACACATTTCGATGCCATTCTGCCGGCTTACGTACCCTTTCGGAAGTCCCCGTTAGATCAGGAATGTCGAGGTCCAGCTTGACCCTCTCTGGAACCGAAGCCGGTAGGAAAAGCAGCTGTTGCCGACCAGACCAGTCTTTGAGATACTTCCGGGTCACGACAGTTTTGTTGGCATCTAGTGAGACCCAAACCTGGGTCGTGATGGTTCAGCTTTTATTCTGAAAGGAACTATTGCAGCAGGTGCAATAGCAACAGATTTTATCCAGCTTGTTGTTGGTTCATTTGGCTGAAGAGGAAAGTTACGGATTGGCCACTCTGACAACTTCTCTGCAACACTTTGAACTGGCGTTAAAGATGACGTGGGCATAGGTTTATAATTCAGATGTTTTAGTTTACGGTCGAATGAAAAGATGACAGATTTACCAAGCACCACCAAAACCACGCCTCCATCAGATCTGGAAGATTCTGATTGTGTGTGTGATGTGTGATGTGGCTTAACCTTACGTGAGATCAGTCTCTATTGGAAACATTTAAAGTTACATTACTTATTACATTCTATAGGATTATAATATCAAGTAATTAATATTTTCATTTCACAAATCGGTTCACATTTTATTATTGACTAACACTATTAAAAAGCAAGAGTCCTTTGTCCTCATTCTTCTCTTGGGCTGGAAAGGAAAACAGTTTAGAAGCAGATGCGTGAGACCTTGAACAATATCTCATGCAGATTAGTTCTTGCTGAGGAGAGGGGGGAAATGACTTTTAGGTGGAAAACAGTAATTTCGTTCCGTTACATCGTCATTTGATCCCAGCCTTACAGCCCCACCCTCAGCTCCACCTCTCTTCACTTTTATGGACTTGTCTGGGCTTGACGGAACCTTTGACACTGTCAAAATGGTTGGTGGTGGCCACCTCTCATTTTGGCACAAAAACTTCTAATTGGAGCCTATGGACACAAATTGTTCAGTAATAATAATAATAATGCATTGAACTTATATAGCGCTTTTCTAGACACCCAAAGACGCTTTCACACACTCTCACATTCACACACTGCTAGTGATGGTAAGCTACTTGTAGCCACAGCCGGAGTATATATGTCCATGCCCAAAACTAACGGAGTTTTCAGCTAGAAAAATGAAGTAGAGCAACTCCAAAGTAAAGGCACCTCCGGCCTGCTTAGTAACAAAATCATAACTAGGTAAGCCGACCGAGGACATCAGGCTTCGATGGTCCACCTCGGTGAAAGATCTGTGTTTCCGTCGTTGTTGATGGTCCCTTCTCCGAGACCGGAGATCAGCGGGACATAAGCTACATGCTAATCTGAAGCCGACTGCATGTTTTCAGCTAGAAAAATGCGGTTCATTGACTTCAAAGTGGAGCAGCATCAACAAAAAGAGCTGCATTGTTTCTGTGGTCTCCCGCAGAGATCCACCATTGGCCAGCATTACTACAGCCTCGCTTCGGAGTCAGCCCGGCTGCTTCGGAAATGGGAACAGGCAGCCTCCTGCTAATCTCAGGCAGGAGACAGGAGAGGCTGGGCGCCCGCTCAAGGTTCTTATGCCCCCCCCTTCAACCTGCAAAATAAAGTACAGAATTTTAAATGTACTTTCTGATTAAAGAAGCAGAAACTGCTTGGATGATCTGTTAGTAACCACAGCTTTCCATTTTGTCCAGCTATGATTGACATCGAAGCACAGTGACAAAACTAAAGTTCAGAGTCGAAATGGCCGAATCTATTAACATGAGGCTGAGGCCTTTCTCTGGAGCTAGCCCTGAAGTCACGTGGCTCTGATGTTCTTCTTCTTCGCATATATCGCATCTGATGTAAAATAACAAATAAAAGAAACCTTTCACTACATGTACCTAAATGTGCTATGTGAAAGCAAATAATGTGAACAGAGTCCAGGTGAAAGAAATGGATGCAGGAAACTACTGGAAAAATTTTGCAAAAAGAACAAAATTAACAAAACCCTATAATATATGTAAGGGAAAATAAAATCTTCTGAGCAAAAATGTTATCAAAACAGAAGGGCTAAATAATCTGTTGCCCATAACTGGCAAAAATCAAAATAAAGGAGATCATAATAGAAATGGCAAAAAGGAATCAGCTGTAAAGATGTAATGCAGAAATGTATATCTATGAATATATCTTTAAGAGAAGTAATAATTTAAGAAAAAGAAACACTAAACACTAAAATGTAAATCAGTGATGTTAGTAATCAAACCTATATGTGAATATACCCCATAAGGAATCAGAGATTAGTTAATTAAAAAAAATGGAATTTCTATAAACACAACAGTTTGTTGAATACTCCCCTTCCATAACATTATCTTCCATCATAGTCATTTTCTTATCTAATTTACATTTTAAATAATTGTTAATGTACAGGGCAACGCCACCACCCCTTTTATTTATTCTATTTACAAAATGAAGTTCATACCCTTCTATTTGTACTTCAGTCATCCCTTCATCATAAAGCCAAGTCTCAGTAATGGCAATGACTTTGAATTAACTTTTAAATTTACCTAAATAATCCTTTATTGTTGACATCTTGGAAACTAAACTTCTACTGTTTATGTGTATGATTGATAATGAATCATTGTTAATTATCCCACTATTTAGAGGATCTTCTGCATAATAATTACTATTTATATTTAACTCAAAAAAACTTTCATCTATTTTACTGTGAAGTTCATATATTTTCTCATGGGAATCCATTTATTCTTTATGAATTCATTTGTACTTCCATATCCATAGTTAAACTGATTCCACTATCCATTATTTAGCCAGTGCTACACAATAAATCATCTTTTACCCTGGAACACTTCTAGATCTTTCAACTCTTTGATCATTTTTGCATTTAGACCTTCTTGCTCTCTACAACACCATTTCTCGTCCATGTGGCTGTGATTTTTTTCTGTTTTCTCAGCACCCTTGCTTCTTTGGCTATTGTTTCATTCTTTTTCGTCAGGTGTTCATTTATGTACACATTTGTACCTTTCAGTTTTTTTTTTGCTTGCCTCAACAACTCATTTCTGTACTTCCTACTGGTAAATCGCACTATGATGACTGGTTTTAAGGCGACTGCCTTTCTTGGAAGGGTATGACAGATTGATATTGCTTCACTTTGGATATTAATGTTCTAACTGTGCAAGAAGCTCAACACTTGTTGTTCTAGTGACTGGAGTTCTTCCTGCGGAGCATCCTCAGTAGTATTTCCATCTCCAGTAACTCTGGCATAAGTCCTATGTCTTGTTTCCAAACCAGTTATCACCAAGTCTTCCCTTCTGGTATACTGCTCCAGTTCATCCACCCTCTGTTCCAATACATGATCTTCTTGTCCCTTTCTGCAAGCTTGAATTTCAGTGTCTTGACCTCGTCCATTAATGATAGTAGTTGATCCTGTTGTACTGTTAGCTTAGACAGCTCGGCTGACATAAAATTAAATGCTTTTTTAAAATTTCCTCCATATCTTCCTCGAGTTTCTCCGTTTTTCTAGGAGGGACCATTGTATTAGGCTTACCTCTCTCTCGGCCCTGGTTGCCGGTGAATCTGGAGCCTGGAGCCCCAGGCTGAGCCTGATGGTTGGATCAGGTGGCTGGTATTGAGGTGATGGTGGAGCCTGGCTGCTGGGCCTGGAGGCTGCTGGGCCTGGAGGTTGCAGGGCCTGGAGTCTGCTGGGCCTGGAGGCTACTGGTGTAGTAGGCAGGCTGCTTTGCCTGGAGGCTGATGGTGGAGCCTGGCTGCTGGGCCTGGAGGCTGCTGGTGGAGCCTGGCTTCTGGGCCTGGAGGCTGATGGTGGAGCCTGGCTGCTAGGCCTGGAGGCTGATGGTGGAGCCTGGCTGCTGGGCCTGGAGGCTGCTGGTGGAGCCAGGCTGCTGGGCCTGGAGGCTGATGGTGGAGCCTGGCTGCTGGACCTGGAGGCTACTGGTATAGCCAGGCTGCTAGGCCTGGAGGCTGATGGTGGAGCCTGGCTGCTGGGCCTGGAGGCTGATGGTGGAGCCTGGCTGCTGGGCCCGGAGGTTGCTGGTGGAGCCTGGCTGCTGGGCCTGGAGGCTGCTGGTGGAGCCTGAACCTGAGCAAAAACAAGACAACGGTCATTGAAAGCTTCTCCGGATCACTAGATGGTTAACCAACCATAGATATAAGCGTCGTGGTCAGCAGAGATAGAGGTAGACCAACAAAGGCTGGAGATTCTCCTTGTTCTCCGCACCGACTGCTGTCCGCCGAAATGCCCAAAAGTGAGTGGGAGCATGTTAACAGGCCGTTAGCATGTGTGTCTTACAACCATTATTAAGAAAACACATAGACGTAGTAGATTAATACAAAAGCATAGCTTATAGCGTATTATATTAACGCAACATGTAATGTTTTATTTAGGCGATACGAGGCTCTGTTGGCTTATATTAGCGATCCAGCTTTCGCTTCATTCAGCTCATTTGACAGTTTATCTTAGTTTCAGCTTACTTCAGCTATTCAACAACTTCAGCAATCAGTTACCAAATTTAGCATAAACTGCTAATTTCACAGTTCAGCTAAATGTAAAGATTAAATTGTTAAACTTGTCCAACTGGAATAACAGGTTTTAAGACATTTTAGCTGTTCAGATTTTTATACGATGTTCACAGATTTCAGTTTTTTGCTATTTAACATTATTTTTCTCTATTCTTCACTTACTTTTTGTGCTTTATTTGCTTGTTTGTGCTTTTTGCTTCTACATCTTTCAAGACATTCAGCTCATTTTGACAGTTTTGCTTTGTTTCAGCTTCAGTTCAGCTGTTCAGCAGCTTCAGCTTACAGTTTCAGCTCTCCAGCATTCAAACAGCATTTGTGCAATAAATGCAAATTTTTCTAGTTGAGGCTTGTTTTGTTGCCATAGTTGATGGCCAATAAAGTTTTCTACAAAAGGAGCTTGGACGCCTACTGCGCATGCGCATTACCAGGAGTCCTTGGCTGCTTGCTCTACTCTAGGTTACTTAGCCGGTCAGAGACACAAACACACAAAATGCAAAGCTGGACGCAGCTTTATCGCTCGGTGACCACGGTAAGGATGATAATTATTACTACGTTAGGCTCCACGTGTTGTCATTAAAGATGTCAGGCTGGTTTCAGTCGCTAAGGGTGTGTGAGTGGTATTTTCGTACTCGAGCTATGCTAGCTGACGTGCTAGCTGCTCAGTTAACTGAAGTTGTATGTAGAACATTTATCTCAGTATATTCCGCTGGGAAAGTTCATATCACACCGCTGTTGTACTACGTGGCTTAATGTGCCATTTGATACGTTCTCAATTTGCACATTGTGTGTGAGTCAAATCTAGTGTAGGTGGAAATCACAAATGTCAATGAAATCAGGACTTTTGTAATACTTTTCGATCACCATGTGCAATTCATTAACAGTAGAGTATGTCTCTGTGATGTATCACGTTTAAATCTAACTGTATGTTTAACATTTTGTGTTTGTTTCACGTCTGACTTGTTTCCTCACTGTTTTAGCATGCTAAGACTGCTAGCTCCGGTTCCCATGTAGCCTACATGAAGGACCTATTATCTGTCCTTGTTATTCTTTATAGTATTCGCTTTTCAGAAGCATTTTTGCTTTAGGAACTAAACAGTGCTGTCGTTGGTAGAGCCCTCTGCATGTTTAGCAAGGGTAAATATTCTGTAAAGAAAACATTTGAAGGTTTAAACAGGGAATTAAAACCCACATAGTTTATCAGTTTGTTTTGGTGTTTCATCAATAATGCTTGTGTGATTTGCTTCCCAGCTGAACCACCAGCTCCCCTACAAGCTGCACGGAGCTGCTACTGTGTCCGTCCGAACTTTTGCTGACAAAGCAGCAAGTAAGAAATCCTGGAAGTTTGATCATTGAAACCATGAAATCTTGTTTCATTCTATTAGTTTAAATATAACACAAGTCCTCATCAAAGTTTTTTGTCCCAGACAGACAAGGCACTTTCACTGTGATGTTCAGACCCACTTTAAATGACTGTTGTTTCTAAAACACACAAACTTCAGACAGATGACCATGGGATCATGCTTTCCCTACTAATATGAATTCATATTAAAGCTAAAGTACATTCAGTAGATATAATTTTGAGATTTCAAACCAGGCATTTACAACATGTTCTTTGGCAGTCGGCCTCCTGGCAGCAGCTGCTCATGAAATGGTTCAGATGGTCAGTGAGAGGGTGATTGTTGGTCTGTATGAAGCAGGGTTGGGGCCCAACACATGGAACCACATACCGGTACATCAGGCCGTGATTAGGGCCCAGATCTGATATTCCAGGTCATTTTGGGACGTTTCTAAGTGACGTAAGGCCTGGGGTCATAATTGTTTTATTTTCTGTTTCCCCTAGAATAAAATGCCACATTTTTTTAAACATAAAGTCCTAACAATGAGAGTATTGTTGCCATCTCATTGCAATAAGTAAAGTCTCTAGTAGGGATGTCCCGATACAACTTTCACTTTCAATACGATACTGATATTGCAGCCTTCAGTATTGACCGATACCGATATCAATCTGATACGATATCAGCACAAATCATACAGACTTTGACCTGTGTCATAGTGTAGAATGTATGAAAGGCTGGATCAAGTGATGGTACTCAATCGGAGAGCCAATAACAGTATTTTTTTCTTAACCATTGGTTGCAAAAATGTGAACTTTAACAGACTGCTTATATCGGAGATTTTTGATGCCGCGCGACATAATCCGATAGTGTTTATGGGCCGCTATCAAATTACTTCCGATATCGATATCATAATGGGACTTCCCTAGTCTCTGGAGTCCCTCTGTCAGACTGCTTCTCTCGTTTCTTTAGAAGTTTTCCCCGACAGCGGAGTACATCTTAGCCCCAGATCCATCCATGTTGTCGTAAATCCCAGGGTGTGTGTTCTGTGTTTCTGCTGTTGTGAGTGAGGTTTTGGTGTGTTTCCTTTGTAGTTGATGCAGACGTCACAGTGGTCGGCTCTGGTCCCGGAGGATATGTCGCTGCCATCAAAGCTGCACAGCTTGGTTTTAAGGTGAGTTTCCTCTGTGACACAAACACGGGAGTACCCGACCTGCTGCTACTTCTATCCAGTGAACCTTGAATCCGCAGAAACTGGTTTCTAAAATGAATACGGGTTTTCTAACAATTGGATTTCCTTTGGCAGACAGTTTGTGTTGAGAAAAATGCAACACTGGGTGGGACGTGTCTAAATGTTGGCTGCATCCCCTCAAAGGTAAAGAGCTGGTGTCTGTGTTGATCAGGAAGTTAAGCTTGTTTAGACTCATTTAGTTAGACTTTATGAAGTAAAATCCTTGGATTGATTAAATGTTTTGTTTTCTGTAGGCTCTGCTCAACAACTCCTACTTGTACCACATGGCACACGGCAAGGACTTTGAAAGCAGAGGCATCGAAAGTAAGACGGGACGATGTTCTTGACACACGTTTTACATTTTATGAGGCTTTGCAGGCTCGACCGGGTTCCACAGCAGTTTTCAGACACACGTGAAAACTGAACAGGCGCAACCCAACTGGCTACAGAGCTCTCAAACCTCACAGACCAAGTGAGACGTGCATCTTCCTGAATACTTCTGCAGCCAAGTGATGGCTCGTTCATACGGGGCACTAGGGGGCCGTCCATCCTGAGCTGAAGGCAGAAGAAGTTAAAGCACTGCATCACACTCCGATGCTTTACTTTTGTGTTTGTTCATTTTAAAGGCTCAAGCATGGAAGTCTAAAAACTCAAAAGATAAATGAACCAAACCAGAACTGGTTTCTATTGAACTATAATGTACAATACAGTGTATGCTCCCCAAGTGGTGAGCTTTGTGCTCTATGTTCTTTGTCCCCCAGTAGGTGGTGCCGGTGTAAAACCCACGCCGGTAGCCCAGAGAACACGAGACTCTGTAAAGCACGGGTGTCAAACTCAGGCCCTCGGGCCAAAGTTGACCTGTGATCTGTTTTTATTTGGCCTGTGAGATCAAATATATATTAAAACCATTTTGCCACAAAGACCACAAATCTCATTGTGCTTTGCAGCGTTAGCGAGGCAGTAGAAGCGCCCCCTCCTTTCTGTTTACGATCATTAGCATCCGTGCTACTAGAATCCGCGTCTGCAGCGATGCCATCCTCGGCCTCAAACAAGCTGATAATACTCCTCAAATCGCCGAGTTTACTCTGCAGTTTGCTGACTTTTAAGTCCAGAAATTGAGATTTCAGCCGCTCCGCAGTCCGTCCACAGCTGACATGGAAAGCTCACCAACCCGGCCTTAGCTGCTCAGGTTCTCTATGTTCAGCAGCACTTATCTCCGTGAGCAACTGTTGTCTGTGAGGAAGATGAACAAAAGTCTCACTGATGAACTCCTTCTTAGCTTAGAGTCCAACCCCACAGGTGCAGGTCTGGCTGGAACAGGTGAGCATCGCAGTAAATCAGAGTGGATTAGTTAGTTTTCATGCACTTTTTCTGCTCCAAAGCATGAAAGTTAATGAGATATTTTCATTTAAGAGAATTGCTATTTTTTTGGTTTTTGTTGTTGGCCTGTAAAAAAAGATGAAGCCTACTCTAAAACAGGAAGTGGAAAGGCCACAGATAGAAGAGTAGAATAGAAACAGAACAGCAGCAATAACATTCATTACAGGAGCAGAAAAGGAGAGTAAAAAATAAGAATAAAGAGTAAACAACAAGAAAACAGAAACTAAAAGATTCAAAAGGTAAAAATGTAATAAATGCTGAATAAACACATTTGAAGGAATAAAAAGTTTTAAAAAATCGAGACATAAGTAACGACTGATGTGTTTAAGATTCACTTGCTCGTGTGTAATTTAGTCGTACCAGATTCAGTGTTTATGTAAAAATAAGTTTGTTTCCAAATGAGACGGTTCAACAACACACATCTGTAGATGAAGGAACATGTGCACATTTCTCGTCACTTTTCAATAAATGTTGAGTTTGGCCCGCTACTTCGTCCCAGTTTCTCGTTTAAGCCCAGTGTGAATTTGAGTTTGACACCCCTGCAGAGGATGCACACAGGAGGTAGCAGAGGTGGAACTGCTGGCTCAGCCGTGGAGTAACTGCTGATGTCCTCCTCTCAGTCTCAGGCATATCGTTGAACTTGGAGAAGATGATGGCTCAGAAGAGCGGCGCCGTGAAAGCTCTGACCGGAGGAATTGCTCATCTGTTCAAACAGAACAAAGTCAGACTCTGGTTTGATTTTATGTAACGCATCAATAATAAACAACACTATCAGGTGTTTTGATTGACATACCTCCTGTGATGGGGTTCTCATCAGGTCACCCATGTGAACGGCTTTGGAAGGTTAACCGGAAAGAACCAGGTCACCGCCACGGCGGCCGACGGCTCTGAGCAGGTCATCAACACTAAGAACATCCTCCTTGCCACTGGCTCTGAGGTCACTCCCTTCCCTGGCATCCAGGTACCACGTCTTCTGAATCATTTGTGTCAGAGGCTTCAGCTCCCGCTTTATAAAAACGGGAAACATTATGTCTCACCAGATAGACGAGGACACGGTTGTGTCGTCCACAGGAGCGCTGTCCCTGAAGAGAGTCCCAGAGGAGATGATTGTGATCGGCGCGGGTGTGATTGGAGTGGAGCTGGTCAGCATCACTTTAGTGTCTGAAACTCTCCGAGCCTCCCATCATGCCGTGCTGCTCGCGGGGCTGAAAACATTCATAGCTTTATTTGAATAATTCTGTTAAGATAAATCTGAGTGCAGCTTTTGCTGAACAGCTGCTGTTGCACATTTATTCCCGAGTACTTGATAAGTAAATGAACTATTTATTAAAATTCTACATTACTGAAGTATTTAGTTACTACAGCCCTACTGAGAGTCTCTGGAACAGCAGACTTTTGTGTCCTGCAGGGGTCGGTGTGGCAGCGTCTGGGCTCTAAGGTCACAGCCGTGGAGTTCCTGGGCCACGTGGGTGGCGTAGGCATTGACATGGAAATCTCCAAGAACTTCCAGCGCATCCTACAGAAGCAAGGGCTCAAGTTCAAGCTGGGCACCAAAGTTCTAGGAGCTACCAAGAGGCCAGATGGCAAGATCGATGTGGCGTGAGTCTGCTGACTGCAGAGTCTGGATAACGTTGTGAAGTTATGGATCATAAAGTATTGGCGGTGCTCTTTCAGGATGGAGGCTGCAGCTGGGGGGAAGAACGAGACTCTGACATGTGACGTTCTGCTGGTTTGCATCGGCAGACGACCGTTCACCCAGAACCTGGGTCTGGAGACCATCGGCATCGAGCTGGACAACAGGGGCCGGATACCCGTCAACGGTCGCTTCCAGACCAAAGTACCCAGGTGAGTCCAGCCCGGTCTGATTTCACCAGATTTACCTAAATGAAACTTCACACGTTAAACTAGGGCTGCTGCTCCATCACGGCAAAACTGATCCCAATTGTTAAGCTTGAAGTTGAGATCTCGATTATCACGATCTTACATTAACACAAATACTTCAAATAACTAGAGAGATACAGTCCAAACATCTGTAATATAAAGATAAAGAGAAACAAACAAATAAGTTGCACTGAACTCGATTAGCTGCTGCACAATCATCACTTAGCCCTGTCCAGCGGTGCTGTAGGGCTGTGTGCAGCAGCACGATGCAGCCTGTCGCTCAGAGCGATGGAACTATTATCGGTGTGAGAAAATGGAAGTGTGGCGTAAAGACGGTCAAAGAAGTGTCTGATGCTCATTGTGAGTTTGCAGCCCTGATTAAATACGCATCCACTTCAGACGTGGCTCGCTTTGCTTGTATAAAAACAGTTTTTTGAGCGAGTGAAAAGGGGTTAGGATTGGTCAGTCGATGTGATCATGATGCACATCATTCCCTTTCCTAATGTCTGAAGGACGGTCCGGAGCGCAGACCGAGTGTTCATCTGGAGAGAACATAGACGACAAAGTTCTACAGAAAGTAGCTAAGGGTCCTCAGAAAGGTCACTAGGCTGTTCACTAGGTGCCTTGGGGAAAGAAAAGTCAAGAAGGAGGCCTGAAAAGTTGTTGGAAATAGTGAATGAGTTGCTAAGTTAGCAACGCTGCGTGGGAGGTGCGCTTGATTTGCAACTCAAAGCAGCGCAGGACCAAACTACGAGGGAGGAGCAAATAATCAGCTCATTTCGTTTATAATCGTTTAAAACCCAGATCGCAATTGTGATGAAGATTCAAATAATGGAGGAACCCAGTGTTGAGTTACAGGTTCTGTAAGTCCCTGTGTGAGTCCTCCGGGCTTACTAAAGCCCGCTGAGCAGAGGTCCTAGCAGCCTAGAGGGACTTCGTCATGAGCACACATCTATAACACTTCTCTCTTCTCCGCAGCGTTTATGCCATTGGTGATGTGATTGCCGGGCCCATGTTGGCCCACAAGGCTGAGGATGAGGGCATAATCTGCGTGGAGGGCATGGCCGGCGGCGCCGTGCACATCGACTACAACTGTGTTCCCTCCGTCATCTACACACATCCTGAGGTGGCCTGGGTGGGCAAGTCAGAGGAGCAGCTCAAAGATGAGGTGCACCAGCATTAGTGGTCCCCAACATCGCGCTGTTATGACCATCTATAGAATCAGGTTTAACTTTTTAAGTGTTTTCTCCCCAACGCAGCAGGGAGTACACTCTTCATACACAAACATCATCCTTACCTGGGCTTGGTAGTTAGGGATGCTTCCAACAGTTGGAGTTAACTTCATGGTGTCTTCTGGGTGGAATCATGAGAGATGATGGCACGCTTAGAGATGGCAGACAATGAAATATCATCTGCTTATTACACCTCTGTGTCCTCTGTGCTTCCCGTTCCTCAGGGCGTTCCGTACAAAGTTGGCAAGTTCCCCTTTGCAGCCAACAGCCGAGCCAAGACCAATGCTGACACGGACGGCCTGGTGAAGATCCTCAGCCACAAGGAGACCGACAGGATGCTCGGAGCTCACATACTAGGAAGTGTAAGAGCTGAAACTATTGTGTGGATACATGTAGGACATTTTTTTGTAGGATGGCGGCCCCTGCTGGTCTGTTTGGGTTAAACAACATGAGACACACAACTCTGAAGTATAATCAGGCCTGCAGGTGGTGTGACCTATCTAAATGTTAAAAGGGTCTGTTTTAATCCAGGACAGCACACATGGTAAACAGCTGTTTTCTTTTCCCTGAAGGGAGCAGGAGAGATGATCAATGAAGCTGCTCTAGCCATGGAGTATGGCGCCTCCTGTGAGGATGTGGCTCGAGTCTGCCACGCCCATCCCGTACGTAACGGCCTCAATCTTACATTTGTAAAGATCTCCCCTAAACAGTGGAGCTCTTTAACCTCCTCCTGTCGGTCCTTTCTCCTGCAGACGGTGTCGGAGGCTTTTAGGGAAGCCAACCTGGCAGCATCCTTTGGAAAAGCAATCAACTTTTAACCTGCCAGCTGTTTTCTCACCTCTGGACGTAACGGTGGAAACAGCAGGAAGCTGTTTGGGGACAGAAACCTTCACCGACCTAAACCCACTCTAAATCCAAACCTACCACAGTTTGCTCCATGTTATTTAAATGTTTCAGCAAAACAAAGACTGTCTGGAGTCAGGCTTTTGGTTTTCCACTTGTAGTTTAAAAGATCCCAGTCCGATCAATAAAGTCTGTGGTGTCCGAAGACAGGAAGGCTTTTGTTTCTCTGGTTTTTAGTCTGGAAGATTTTCTTGGGATGAAAATAACAGAAAATCTAAGCAGTTCCTGAATTTTCAGAGTAAGCGTCCACTTTCAAAACCCTTGTGGCTTTGTGAGCTCGGCCCAGTCACACGGCACAACTGTACCTCACCGGCTCAGTGTAAGCTGCTGCTGGGGAAAAATCCTGCTCCAGTTACTTCACTGGTTTGCTTCAGGTTGTTGTTGCTTGTGTCTCCATTTAAACCAATAAATGCAGTTCTTCAGCCAGATGTTTGGTCTTTCATCGGAGTGGTGTGTAAAGTTATAAACCCCCACTTTCACCCAATATGTTCCCATGGCTCACTTCCAGAGAGCCAGACTTTGTCATTTTCAGTAGTTTCAGAATTTCTGAAGGTTTTCCAAAACTCTTTTTGAAGTTTCTTTACTCATTTTCAGTGTGGTCCTTTACTTCGCCAACATGGGAGGCATCGGACCCAAGGAGATGAACCAAAAGTCCTTTCATGGTGAGGCTGGGTCAGAAGCTGGCTGCTGTTTCATCCACGCTTTACAAGCTCTTTGGTCGAAACACTGTTGTCTTTAGATTAAACCACACATGTAAAGATCTTAGCCAGATGTTTAGTGCATCCATCACCTTGAGTACAAAATGTTTCCTAAATCAAAAGCAGGACTGAAGCTCTCAGATTTTTTTTCTAGATTTAGTGTGCAAACATGGACTAACTTCAGCTCCAAGCTGCGTCATCGGTCCGGCCAACTCTAGTCCTGCTGCTGATTTGGAGGAAATCCAGGCCAAAACGTGTCATGAACCAGTCATTTTGGAAACATTAAGCTGAAAATTAGAGTTTGGAATTTGATAATAGCCAAGAGCACTAAACAGTCATTAAGCCATTTGAACTCCGGTTCTCTCAAAACCACGTCTCACATCTAAAACTTGACCTTAACTAAGGGGACTCCAAAGGCCAACCTACCTGTTTATACCATCTATATAGAGGTAGGATCCAAGGGCTAAATGACCATTTAAACTTGTGAAGTGGTGTAGACAACAATATGTTTAAAGTACTGATGGAACTGAATCAGAAATAAAAATGAACCATGCAAAAGAGTGGAGTATTAACCCTTCTGAGGTATACAGTAGTTTCTCTAAAGCTGTTGTGTTTTCCATCCATCCATCCATTCATTTTCTTCTGCTTATCCGGAGTTGGATCATGGAGGCAGCAGCCAAGAGGCCCAGACTTCCCTCTCCCCAGCCACTTGGGCCAGCTTTTCCGGGGGTGGGTTTCTATAAGAAAATAATTACTGGTCTAGAATGGCCTTAAATAGCCCATTTTACCTGTGCAGAATACCAGTTTTTCCACGTCCAGTCACAGGTAGGTAAATGCATAAACCCTCTCAAAGTATCCTTGTCAACAGAAAGCAGTTAAGAAAAAACAACTAGAAAGATAAAATATTGCCGTCAAAATAAACAATTTTTATTGAACACATTTTGCATATAATCTGTGCAGTTAACCATCTTTATGATTTCACATCCTATTATGACTGAAGCATCTCGTCGTCTTCCTCCGCTTATCCGGGTCCGGGTCACGGGGGCAGCATCCCAACTAAGGAGCTCTAGACCATCCTCTGCCCGGCCACCTCCACCAGCTCCTCCGGCAGGACCCCAAGGCGTTCCCGGCCCAGATTGGAGATGTAACCTCTCCAACGTGTCCTGGGTCGACCCAGGGGCCTCCTGCCGCCAGGACATGCCCGAAACACCTCCCCAGGGAGGCGCCATGGAGGCATCCTGACCAGATGCCCAAACCACCTCAACTGACTCCTCTTGATCCGGAGGAGCAGCGGTTCTACTCCGAGTCCCTCCCGAATGTCCGAGCTCCTCACCCTATCTCTAAGGCTGAGCCCGGTCACCCTACGGAGGAAACTCATTTCGGCTACTTGTATCTGCGATCTCGTTCTTTCGTTCATTACCCAAAGCTCATGACCATAGGTGAGGATTGGGACGTAGATCGACCGGTAAATCGAGAGCCTGGCTTTCTGGCTCAGCTCCCTCTTCACCACGACAGATCGCCTCGGCGTCCGCATCAGTGCAGACGCCGAACCAATCTGCCTGTCGATCTCCCGATTCCTCCTACCCTCACTTGTGAACAAGACCTCGAGATACTTAAACTCCTCCACTTGAGGTAGGACCTCTCTCCCGACCCAGAGTTGGCAAGTCACCCTTTTCCGGTAGAGAACCATGGTCTCAGATTTGGAGGTGCCTTCCTCTCCTGAGGCGCCGGACAGTTTGCCAGAACCTCTTTGGAGTCGATCGATAGTCTTTCTCCATGGTCTCACCAAACTCCTCCCACGCCCGAGATTTTGCCTCGGCAACTGCCACTGCTGCACCCCGCTTGACTATCCGGTACCTGTCTGCTGCCTCCGGAGACCCACAGACCAGCCACACCCTGTAGGCCTCCTTCTTCAGCCTAACGGCTCCCTGAACCTCTGGTGTCCACCAGCGGGTACGGGGGTTGCCACCATGACTGGCACCGGCCACCTTGTGACCACAGCTAGCAACAGCCACCTCAACAATCGCAGAGTGGAACAAGGCCCACTCGGAGTCAATGTCCCCCACTGCTCTCGGGACATGGTCAAAGCTCTGCCGGAGGTGGGAGTTGAAGACCGCCTTGACAGGTTCTTCTGCCAGGCGTTCCAAGCAGACCCTCACTATGCATTTGGGTCTGCCAGGTCTACACGGCATCCTCCCCTGCCATCTGATCCATCTCACCACCAGGTGGTGATCAGTTGACAGCTCCGCTCCTCTCTTCACTCGAGTGTCCAAAACATACGGCCGCAGGTCAGATGACACGACTACAAATTCTATCATCGACCTACGACCTAGGCTGCCCTGGTATCAAGTGTACCGATGGGCATCCTTATGTTTGAACATGGTGTTCGTTATGGCCAAACTGCGGCTTGCACAGAAGTCCAATAACGAAACGCCACTCGAGTTCAGATCAGGCGAGCCGTTCCTCCCAATCACACCCCTCCAGGTCATGCTGTCGTTGCCCATGTCACAACCCCAGAAATGGAAACCCCTGATTTCAATCATGAAATAATTACTTATGATTTTTTTAATGAATTAAATAGTTTTATTGACACAATCCGTTAATTTTCTATTTAAATAATTATTTACGCAGAATATTTTGGGCCTCATTTACTGAATTGTACCACTTTTGCTTCTCCAGTTTTATCATTTTTAATTTCTTTATGTCGTCGTCGTTGTCGTCTTCCTCCGCTTATCCGGGTCCGGGTCGCGGGGGCAGCATCCCAACGAGGGAGCTCCAGGCCGTCCTCTCCCCGGCCTTGTCCACCAGCTCCTCCGGCAGGACCCCAAGGCGTTCCCAGACCAGATTGGAGATGTAACCTCTCCAACGTGACCTGGGTCGACCCGGGGGCCTTCTGCCGGCAGGACATGGCCGAAACACCTCCCCGGGGAGGCATCCTGACCAGATGCCCAAACCACCTCAACTGGCTCCTTTCGATCCGGAGGAGCAGCGGTTCTACTCCGAGTCCCTCCCGAATGTCCGAGCTCCTCAACCTATCTCTAAGGCTGAGCCCGGCCACCCTACGGAGGAAACTCATTTCGGCCGCTTGTATCCGCGATCTCGTTCTTTCGGTCATTACCCAAAGCTCATGACCATAGGTGAGGATTGGGACGTAGATCGACCGGTAAATCGAGAGCCTGGCTTTCTGGCTCAGCTCCCTCTTCCCCACGACAGATCGGCTCAGCGTCCGCATCAGTGCAGACGCCGAACCAATCCGCCTGTCGATCTCCCGATCCCTCCTACCCTCACTCGTGAACAAGAACCCGAGATACTTAAACTCCTCCACTTGAGGTAGGACCTCTCCCCCGACCCGGAGGTGGCAAGCCACCCTTTTCCGGTCGAGAACCATGGTCTCAGATTTGGAGGTGCTGATCCTCATCCCAGCCGCTTCACATTCGGCCGCGAACCTACCCAGCAAGAGCTGAAGGTCAGAGCTGGATGAAGCTAGGAGGACCACATCATCCGCAAAAAGCAGAGACGAGATTCTCCTGCCACCAAACTCGACACACTCCACACCACGGCTGCGTCTAGAAATTCTGTCCATAAAAGTGATGAACAGAACCGGTGACAAAGGGCAGCCCTGGCGGAGTCCAACCCTCACTGGGAACAGGTCCGACTTACTACCGGCTATGCGGACCAAACTCACGCTCCTCTGGTAAAGGGACTGAATGGCCCTTAACAGAAAGCCACCCACCCCATACTCCTGGAGCGTCCCCCACAGGGTGCCCCTGGGGACACGGTCATAAGCCTTCTCCAAATCCACAAAGCACATGTGGATTGGTTGGGCAAACTCCCATGCCCCCTCCATCACCCTTGCAAGGGTATAGAGCTGGCCCACAGTTCCACGGCCAGGACGAAAACCACATTGCTCCTCCTCTATCTGAGATTCAACTATCGATCGGACCCTCCTCACCAGTACCTTGGAGTAGACCTTTCCAGGGAGGCTGAGGAGTGTGATCCTCCTATAGTTGGAACACACCCTCAGGTCACCCTTCTTAAAGATGGGGACCACCACCCCGGTCTGCCACTCCCTAGGTACTGCCCCCGATGACCACGCAATGTTGTAGAGACGTGTCAACCATGACAGCCCTACAACATCCATAGCCTTAAGATACCCAGGACGAACCTCATCCGCCCCCGGGGCTCCGCCGCTGTGTAGTTGTTTGACTACCTCAGCAACTTCTGCCCCCGAGATCGGACAGTCCATCCCCAGGCCTCCCAGCTCTGGTTCCTCCTCGGAATGCGCATTTGTGGGATTGAGGAGCTCCTCAAAGTATTCCTTCCACCGTCCGACTATAGCCTCAGTTGACGTCAGCAGCTCCCCATCCCCACTGTAAACAGTGTGAGCGAGTTGCTGCCTTCCTCTCCTGAGGCGCCGGACAGTTTGCCAGAACCTCTTTGGAGCCGATCGATAGTCTTTCTCCATGGCCTCACCAAACTCCTCCCACGCCCGAGATTTTGCCTCGGCAACTGCCACTGCTGCACCCCGCTTGGCTATCCGGTACCTGTCTGCTGCCTCCGGAGACCCACAGACCAGCCACGCCCTGTAGGCCTCCTTCTTCAGCCTGACGGCTCCCCGAACCTCTGGTGTCCACCAGCGGGTACGGGGGTTGCCACCACGACTGGCACCGGCCACCTTACGACCACAGCTAGCAACAGCCGCCTCGACAATCGCAGAGTGGAACAAGG